AAGGCTGGGATAAGGTACTGTTACTCAGCAAACCCGCATTTTGAGAACAAGAATAAGGCTTTTTTGAACATAATGTCTCTTTTTTTCCCCTGTGCAGTTGCAAAGAAAGGTATTTAATCCTTCTAAAAATAAGTATGAACGTGTCTGCTTCCAGAGTCTACAAAATATGTCTGCATCAAAGACATTTGGGAATAAGTAGCTAATTTGATACTCACAAGAAACCATAGCCTAGGACTTTGTGTCAGAGAACTGGGCTGACCTTTCAGCAACTGATGATAGCTCTGAAATGACTTCTCATCAGTGAAAGCCCAGTCTAACATCATTTAAAATAAATTAAAAGCTATCACTGGCTTCTATGGATATTGGATTAGACGATATAAAACCCACTTGAATGCTGGGAACCCAATGAAATTATCATGGTAAATCTAAATTCTAGTGAAGCTTTACAGGCTTTAAAATATCTCTCTGCAGCCCCATTAAGAATGGGTTTCTACTTCGCTCATGAATAATTCACTTCTTTTTCTTCTGACAGTACCACTGCGAACTAAGCCAGCACAAAGCCAGTTCCAGCCTCCTTTTTGCTCACTGCAGATCCAGAGCATGTTTCTGTTGAAAGAACAATCCAGAGAGTAAAGGCCTGACCATAGACACTGCTTCCTCTCAAAGTATCTCTTCTCATGTCCTGCCATCCCCATGGAACTAGGAACAGCTCTTACAGCTCTTCCCAACACTTTTTCATCTCCCCATTTCCAGCCACTTACCCTGGGCCATGGTGATAGTGTGACTTCCAAAATGACCAGGATCTGGAAAGATTAAATTTCCTTTATGAGCTGGTCCTCATACACAACTTTGTCCATCTCCTCCTGCTCATTTTTGAAGCATTTGATCTTCATTTCAGAAGAATAAAACTTTGTTGCAGAACAAACCTGCTAGCTGGGGTAGCCCCACAGCTCTGTTTCCACGGGAGAAATTTTTGCTGTTCAACTAAAAAAGAGAGAGATGAAGAGTGCTGGCCAGTTCTCCTCAGGAATCACTCCTAGCAACAGGAGAAATGGATATCATACATATTACTCCTTCAAACCATTTGTCATTGCATCCTTTGTTCCAAATGCACTACCTTTAACATGACCTCACATTACACATCTCCCAGCCACATTCACCTTCAATCCTCTCTCTTTCTACCCTCAGTGAAGAACCATCTTATAAGAAAAATTCTGCTTCTACCAGAAACATCTACTGGGAACATTTCCTGTCTCCTAAACCCAGATGTGAGTACAGAAGAATCATTATTTCTCATCATCCTTTTAAACCTCCCTCCCTGCAGATACCCTGACTACCAGCATCCTGCTTCCCGCCCAGACTGACATTGCTACTCTGATCCACAAAGAGCACCAGTGCTTTTAGAAGGGCTCTGCTCTGCATGGCAAGAAATGAAACATACATTCATACACAGGCATACCTTTGCCAACACCTGAAACATCTCCAAAACACCCAGTCTCTGTACCAGAGAGGAACAGTGCTGTGAGTTAGCTGCAGCACTGCATTGACCCGTAAGGACCTACTCAAAGAACCTGAGATCTGGGGTCATCCCTGGGGCTATGGCTTGTGGCTCTGGTGTTGCCAAACTGCTGGCCAGTGGGAACAGCATCCAGCAGTGAAAAGAAGATGGGCAGCTATAGGAACCAAGGCCTACAGCCCTGAGATTAGGCTGTGAGATGTGTGGCTAAGGGATTTCCATGAGCTATTCCATGAGATGTGTGGCTAAGGGATTCCTGGGGGCATGAAGACGGGGGAAATGGTTTATCAGGTGAAGGCCAGGTGGCCCTCACCACTGCAAGAGGTGGAAGAGGAAGTGATGCTAAGGTGTCATGGTTCTGTTCCACCCTTGTGCAAGACCCACAGCCTTTGTGATCTCTCTCATTGTTACCCTTGGTATCCCTCATTTACAGACAAAGAGGCTGCCCTACTTATGACAGCAGGAACAGAAGATTTGACTATGGTCTCAGCTTCACTTCCCACAAAAGTATAGTGATACCATTTGGTCTTTATAGAGAAGGATATTCCCCTGGATGAGAAAAGTTCAAGTCCAGTCCAAAAACATGCCAGGCCAGGCTTTCCTGTGTTGTGCCCTTGCCTTCAGTTACCCACAGGTGATCCTGGAGCAGTGAGGGGAAGGACCTTACCCCTTTCCTGGTGTGTTTAGACATTGTCACTGGTGCTACCTTCTAATACTTCCTTACATTAATTGTTTATTTGGCCTGAAGAGGGTTTAATGAGTCAAATAACCCTGGAAAAAATATTCTGGGCAGTATGGCAGAACAGGAGAAAAAATAAACAACCTATAGCTGAGAGCAGTAATGAATGCACCATGTGTGAGCAGGCACAGAGAACATGTAACAGGCACTGAGCAGTCATGACATACATATTCAATTCTCACATTAAGCCAGGAGTTCCCTGAATGACAGAGCCCTAATTTCCTACCGATTCACATCCTGTATCTCTGCCCGACACTGCAGCAGTACCAGCTCCTTCCTGCACTGTGATTCTCTAAGAAACCACATCACAGCAGTGTACCAACATTCAGCAAAGCTCAGTGCTGGCCCTTACAGGAAGGGATTGTCATTGGCGTTAAAATAAAACTAATTTTGCTCACTCAGGACTCACAAAGACATCCGTGCCCCTGTGTTTCCATCCAGCACTGAGAAGGGATTGTCATTGGCATTAAAATAAAACTGGGATTGTCATTGGCATTAAAATAAAACTAATTTTGCTCACTCAGGACTCACAAAGACATCCGTGCCCCTGTGTTTCCATCCAGCACTGAGGCAGTAACCCATGTGTGTCCAGGCAGTCTGCACAATTCCGTGCAGTGACACAGAGGTCAAAGCTGTGACACTGCCACAGCAGTGGCAAAGCTGTCCTCGCTGCCTGAGGATGTGCCTCTATCCCTCTCTCTGCCTCCCCTCCCTGTACCCCACCCCTGAGGTCTCCTGTCCTACCTCTCAGTGTCTTTCTCACCCCCCTGGTTATGTCTGTGGCCCTGCCCTGCAGCTCTAATTCCTCAGGATGGTGTTTCAAGGCAGGGCAGAGCTCAGGTCAGGACTGAGCCAGAGGTGGGGACATTGGCTTACTTGGAGCAAAAGCAGAGGTGAAGGAAGGGCCTGGCAAGCAGCTTTGGGCTTTGAGGACAAGAAGCTTTTCATGCACAGATAAAAAGAATCACATGGGAAAGTCAAAAAAGCTTTCCTCTCTCTTTCCATGAGCCCCACTTCTTTCTTCTAAAAGCAGCCTCTGGCCAGCAATTCCTTTCTTAGCTGGGACTTTACAGCAATGTAAAGGATTTGCCTCCCCACAAGCAGTGTCACTGCCAAAGCTGCCTCCCAGCACCTCCTGGCCCTGGGGCATCCCACTGCTGCTCTCTTGTGTGACCCACAGTGCTCCAAAGATCAAAGCACAGCAATGAGGCAACCTCTGGCCACGAGCACAGCAGGAGTGTTCAGCTGCTGCCTTCCTGCAGTGATGCTGCAGAAGAGGGACAGGCACGAATCAGGCAAGTAGAGCAGCAAAGGCTGGGCTGCATGGGAAGCAGCACTGAGCAGCACATTTCATAGAGTCACAGAATGCTTTGGGTTGGAAGGGACATTTTATTATCATCTAATTTCAACATTCCTGCCATGGCCAGGGGAACCTTCCATTAGACCAAGTTGATCCAAACCCCATTCAACCAGGCTTTGAACACTTCTAAGGCTGAAGCAGCCACAGCTTCTCTGGGCAACCTCTTCCAGAGCCTCACTGCCCTCACAGCAGAAGATTTCTTCCTCGTGTGCAATCTAAATTGACCCTCTTTCATTTTAAAACCATTGTCCCTTATCTTTGCGCTAAAGGTTTCTCTGTCTTTCTTACAAAAAGAAAGACAGAGATTTGCTGCAGCCCCCTTTAAGTCTGGAAGGCTGCAGTAAGGAGGAAGGCTTCTTTTCTCCAGGCTGAGCAGCCCCACTGCCTCAGCCTGTCTCCATGGCAAAGGTGCTCCAGCTCCCTGACCACCTCTGTGGCCCCCTTTGTACCCAGTCCAATAGGTGCATGTGTTTCCAGCGCTGATGACCCCAGAGCTGGATGCTCCAGGCGGGTCTCACAGGAACAGGGGGCAGAAGCCCCCACCTCGCCCTGCTGGCCCCACTGCTCTGGATGCAGCCCAGGATATAACTGGCTTTCTGGGTCATGGCCTATTTTAAGCCCACCCCTATTGCCAAGTCATTCCCTGCAGGGCTGGAGACCCTGATGGCTGCTCCTCAGCATCCACCCACAAGAACGGGAAGGACAGAGGGGCAGAGGACAGAGGGCCATAAGCCTCGGAAAGAAACAGCAAAAAAGATTTATTCGTCATCAAGGCTTGCAGAGCAGACCCACTCCCGGGCCTCTTATCTGGAAAAGCGAGGAATGTCGAGGGCCATGAGAGAGCCAGTGGTCCCTGGGAGAAGCCCGGGAGGACGGGACAGTGGTTGAAGCTCCCCGAGAGCCACAGCACGCCACCCCCAGACGCGCTGCCGCTGAGGTGTCCCAGAGATCAGCAGGATCCCCTACCCGCGCCACGGGGATCCCTCGTGTCCTAACACAGGATCCCTCTCGTGGCCGCGGACCATCCTTCCCCTACTCGCGGGGATCGCATTCCCACGTGTCCCGCTAGGAGCCGACCCCTCCTAGGCAGAACTACATTTCCCAGGGCCGCTTGCGCCCGGGCGGCGGAATAGGTGGGCTGAGCGCGCATTCTGTTCCGATTGGCCGGCCGGGGGCAGTCGGGGCGGTCATTGGCTGGGCGGGCGGTCACGTGGGTTGGCGGGAGGCGGGCGGGCTCACGTGGGGCCGTGCGGGAGCGGGCCGGGAGCGGAGCGGGCACCGGACACCGGACACCGGGCTCGGGCCGGGCTCTGGGGCGCGGGCCCGCCGGGCCTCGCCATGCTGGGCGGCCGGGGCGG